ATATAGGTGAAGGCCTCCCATGAGATTGGACCCTAATAGATCAGGATTTGAATTTACACAAAAGTTGATACACATGGGTCAACTGTATTTGGTGTACTGAATTTATCAAAAGCTGGCAGTTTTCATATTTAGTTACAGCTATCTTGATGATTTTAAAAAATCTCATTGCTGTTCTGCTTGGTTCATCATAAAATAGTGTTCCTTAGTATTAAAAAAAATCTTGGTTTCTTCCAACACTAAAATTTAATTTTTGTTTTACTGAAATCAGATATTATTCCCTGTTAAAGTTTGAAAGAAGAAACAATTCCACTGGTTTGCAACTTCCATTGTCTCCAAACCTTTGTTTTGAGAACCCAGGATTTTCCTGATTTTAAACCAACACTCTAGTCAATACTGGATTCAACTCCCATCTATGGTAAAACCAGGTTTATTTGGCCAGAAGATGCATACTTCCTTCTAAATTTATTTTTGAGATAAATAAATATCTTGATACCATCATCCCAAAATGATAAACTTAAGAGTTCATATACCAATGTTATTTCCTCTCTTTTTTGTTCTTCTCCTTGGTAGAATCTGCTCTAACTGCTTGAACAAAATGGGTTTTTCATTTTTAAAGTAGACAAATACCTGGTTTCAAAGGAACTTAATGCCATGAATACTTCACTGTTGTCAATTTGAATCTATGGGGTCCAAAATATAACTTAAAAAGGAATAGTGCACAAGTTATATATGATGTCCAGCAGCAGGAAGTAACTGATTGGAGACAATGGAAGTTGCAAACCAATGGAACTGTTTAGACCTTGGTAGTATATGATCTGATAGTAATTTATTCTACATTTGTGCATCTACAGGACAGGTGGGCAGAATTTTACTTTGAAATCTCAACATTCATAGACTTGTGCAAGTATTTCTTGCTGTTGATATTTTTTAAGAAATACTTATTCATTAGATTTGTTACTGGCCAAACAACTCTCAGGAGCAGCAGATCACTAGCAGGTTCTACTAGGACATCTATGAGCTTGGTTTACCACAGAACAACTCACAGCCAAGCCATGCATGGCCCTAAAAATAAAAACCAACATTTTTAATTGTACTTGGAAGCCACCAGGAAGCCAGCGCAGGGCTTGAAGCATTAGCTGGAAGGTGCATGTATCACGTGTACTAGTCAGCAACCAAGTGTTGATATTGTGAAACATTCCAAAAGATCTCTCCAAAATAGACTTCAAAATATCAAGTGTAGTTCAGCATAAACTGGCATAAACTTGCATGTTGGCACAGAAAATCCAAATCAACCCATTAATGAGATCTGAACCAATAATAATTGATCTGGAGAAATGGTGGTCTGCACAATGAAAATTGTGCACAGCTGCTGTAATAGAAATGCTGATATAATAATGATCCTATATATATCTGTGGTAAGACTTGAAATACTGTGAAAGATATTATAAAAGTAAAAAAAGTGCAAAAAAGTGTGTCTATAATGAACAGGGGGCTGCAACAGCTCTCCTATGAAGAGAGACTACAGCAATTAAGGTTTTCAGCTTGGAATGAAAAGAGTGCAAGGAAAAACATATTAGAGATATATAAAATCATATGTGGTGCATATAACAGGAAGCATTGTGAGGAAAGAGAGTGTTTATTTTTCTCCCTCTGCTACAACATTTGTTTGAGGTCATCCACCAAAATTAAATCCAGATAGATTCAGGACCAACATAAACTGCAGAGTTACATTGTGGAATTTGCTGCCAGTACTTATGGCAATAGGTGTCAAATTGGGTGGTTCAAAAAACAACCTGGGCAAGCTCAGAGGATCAGATCAATGGCTACTAATACTGATGGCTACTTACTAGTTTCTGAATCATACACTATACACGGCATGCCTTAAGTACCGACTGCTGACAAGCGACAATTTCTGCTTTGTGAGTTTCTCAAATACTTTCAGTTGAGATAAAATCCTCGCCATGTCTTTTGAATGAATTCACTGAGAAATCACATACTTTGGAGGGAAAAAAATAATGGTGCCTAAAAGTCCATTGCTAGGACATCTAAATCATGGTTTATGTCACCTTAAGCCTAGCCAAGTTTGACTGATCTCAAAAAGCTAAGCAAAGTTGGGCCTGGCTAGTACTTTTTTCCAGCTCAATATCATGTAAATCCTAGCAGGCACAGTTAAATTCACGTGATTTGAAGAGTAATTTTCTCCTCGAGAGGGGGAACTACAACAAAACATTATAATACGAAATACTGCTGATAAGTATTCCGGTTTCACCCATTCCAATACCCTTAATATTCATCTCCAACATTACATGACCATTGAGAATCTTCATTTCTCAAAAAGGGTTTTGTTTTGTTTTGTTTTGAGATTCTAAGGATGCTGTCTTCCTGGGCTCCTAACTCCTTCTATATCTACTACTACATCTAAACACCAGAAATGTTTAAAATGTCAATTGTTTTATAAAGTTAATCATAAACAGTGGAGGAAAGGGGAATAAAAAATGAATCTGAAATAAGTAGCCACTATTCAACTAGTAAACTTTTTTAAGCCGTAGGAAAGCAGGTAATAGGTTGACAATGCAGGGAAACCCTGTAAATATCTCTTTCAGCAAATAACATAAATGGCTGGGCATCATGTTTTGCTTGAGAGGTCATCAAACTACACAAAGAACAATGAGATTTAATGATCTGATACTTACTTTTGGAACAAAAATGAAATCAGAGTTTTCTTTTAAAAAATAATAAAAAATATATTATATGAATATGTATAGAACAATAAATTCCAGAGACTTAGTGAGCAGTTTAGGACAGGACAGGGTAGAGGCTTCTGAAGAAAGATGTGTGATGGGAAATTCTTTGAACTTCCTGAAGTTACATTCTCTTATGATTCAAACTTAATTTGGGGCAATCTTTCTCCTTATTCTCTTATGAATGCCTAAGGTCTACAGGTAGTTCTCAGATGACTTCTATTCGTTCAGCAACTGTTCAAAGTTATGACAACGCTGGAAAAATGGATTTACAGCAGGTCCTCAAAGTTGTGGCCATCGCAGCGTCCCACGGTCATGTGATGAAATTTGGGTGCTTGGTGACTGGCCCACATTTACAACCATAACTTCACTTTGTCCTGCCCTTCATGAACTGCCTCCATTTCAACTCCCCCCACCTGTCTATCTCCCATCCCTGCCCTTATTGCCGCCCTGCACAGCATGGCCAAGATGAAGAGGGTGCTGTATTTCACTGTTGCCACCGCCCCTAGCTGACCTTTGTTGCCATCTTTGCCTTGCCTCCCCTTCTCTGGGCTCACCTCTGCTGCTGCCTCCTGGCTGCCGGGCTCCTGGCAGGCCTGACCCACTTCAGCAGTCTCAGCCTGCCACTGGCCAGGGATCATGTGACATGCCTGCTTCGTGGGGAGGGGTTTGCATTGGCCCACCCTGGATACACCCAGCACTCAACTGTCAAAGTCCTGGTGTGACCTACTGCCCACAGCAGCTATTGCTTCTCCTGGTTCTGCTTCTCCCTGTGAAGAGCTGCTGCCAACATGTGAATCCCTCTGCTGGGGCTCGCTGCTGCTTTGGGGTGGCTTTCCAACCTTTGCACCACAGAGGACAGGCAGAAGCAAGCAGTAACCGGCAGCCCCAGGGAGCTTGCAGAGTCTTTTGGTGCAACTGTGGCTGCAGTTTTGCCTCTGTAACCCACTGCTGTGGTCCTGGGGTGCACTGTGCACTCTGCTTGAGGAGTTCTTGCCTGCAAAAGCACCGCATGGTTTGAGACTGCCACCGCAGGGGAGGGGAGAGGAGGGGAGGGGAGGGG